TTCATTCTTTGAGGATGTTATGCCTTTCTTCAAAGGTGAGATGAAAAGGCCACAAATCGGTCACTGTTTGTCCAAGTTTACATACTAAGTCTCCTAGAAAGAGGAATAGCAACTATAGAAGGAAACCAAAGCTAGGCAGGAGAGCCGAAAGCAGGAGTCCATTAGAAACTAATGCAGTGGTGCAAAGAGCCTCCTGCAAACACAGTCCAGCTCTCACCATGGTGACAAGTGGAAATTTACAGCTGAGGACGAGGGTCAGTCACTGCATGGAAAATAACTAAAAAGGAATAAAAAGGGAGTGGGATTCTCAATGTGCTGCCTAGTTTTATGTCAACTTGACACAAGCTAATGTCATCTAAGATGAGGGAGCATCAATTAAGAAAATGCCTCCATGAGCTCCAGCTGTAGGCAAACCTGCAGGGCATTTTTTCTTTTCTCTTTTTTAAAAAATTTATTATGTAGTGTTCTGCCTGCATGTATGCCTACATGCCAGAAGAGGGCACCAGATAGCATTATAGGTGGTTGTGAGCCACCATGTGGTTGCTGGGAATTGAACTCAGGACCTCTGGAAGAGTAGCCAGTGCTCTTAACCTCTGAGCCATCTCTCCAGCCCAGGCATTTTCTTAATTAGTAACTGATGTGAAGGGCCCAGCCCATTGTAGGTGGTTCCAGCCCTGGGCTGTTGATCCGGAGTTAAATAAGAAACTAGGTTGAGCAAGCCACGAGGAGCAATGTCATAAGCAGTATTCCTCCTTCATGGCCTCTGTATCAGTCCCTGCCTCCAAGTTCCTGCCCTGCTTGCATTCCTGTCCTGACTTTCTACAGTGATGAACAGCGATTTTGAAGAGTAAGCTTCTTCAAGTTGTTTTTGGTCATGGTGTTTCATCACAGTAATAGGAACCCTAACTCAGACACTGACCAAACCAGTCTGGAAGAAATGCTTGTGGTTTTTTGTTGTCCTTTTACTTGTTCTTTTGAGATAGGGTCTCATATAGTCCAGGCTGGCCACAAAGATACTACTTAGTTGAAGATGACTGACCTTCTGATACTCCTGCCTCTAGCTCTCAGGTGCTGACTACGGACCTGATTTTAGTACAGTTTTCAATAAACACAATTATATGTGAACTTTTGAATTCTGGTATCCATAATTGCTTTGCTGTTGTTTTTATTCTTTCAAATATATAAAGTTTATATTTATTTTCATTTGTGTGAATGTGTATGTACCTGCTTGTCTATATATGCACTACCTGCATGAAGGTGTCCTTAGAGGCTAAGAGAGCAATGACTCCCTGGAACTGGATCACAGGTGTCTTCGAGCTGCATGATGTTGGTGCTAGGACAGAATTCAGGTTCTCTGCAATAGCTGCAAATAGTCTTAACTACTGAGCCATTGTGCCTGTACCCTAATAAATCCTAAAGGCCTCACTTGTAAGAACTCATTCATTTTTTGAGTGCCTTAGATCTAGTAATGCTTTTTTTTTTTTTTAAACCACTCTACCATGGGTCTCAGAGATCAAACTCAGGATGTCGGGCTTGGTGGCAAGAGTTTAACTGCTTTGTTTTAACATAAACGGACAATGGAGTAGCCTGTCATTTTTATTACTCTATTTACCTCCAATAGGTGGCACTCTACTCCATGTAAATGATCTGAGTCTGCTGCTGAGCTGCCCTGTACCAGTGAGAACTATTCTTAGTAGTACTGGACAAAGTATGAATAGGCCACGTGTTTTATGTAAAATAGCTCTGGTCATTTAACAAAAAAATTCCCAGAGAGGTCAGTTTCTATTTCTGAGGTCACACAGTAAGCCATGAGGCAAAGTGCAATTTCTACCTGGGGTTTGTACTTTGAAGTTCTGTGTGGCCTTCCCCTCCCCACCCATAAGATTTTTCCCCTTTATAGTTACAAAGATATGACACTGGAAGTCTTCCCATTAGCCAACAATTTTAATAAATAGAATATATTTTACTGCTTAGACATCTTTTGTGCTTATTAACACCTTTGAAGATAATGGTGCGTCAGTAAACTGTTAAAACAGCTTTTATCACACTCAGTATTCCTCACCTCACACTCCGATTGGTACTCCAAATTACACTTGCAAAAGTATCCTACTAAGTTACTCAAAATCACACAGTGGCTTACTTACATTGTCAACATTTCAAATACTCATTAGTCCTCCAACTGAAAGGCTCATGAAAATAACCACACATGGTTAGCTCTTGGGTGGTGAGACTTAAAAGTGAGTTGCCACATTAAAACCTGGTAACAAATAAATTCCAACTTACAAAACTTGAACCCTAAACAAAACTTTTTTAAAAATTAGAGACGCTTCCTTTTAGGGCATTCCGACACGATCTCTACTTGGAAAGAATGGCTCAGCAGTTAAGTCTGCTCTTCCAGAGGACCCAAGTTTGGTTCCCTAGCTCCAGAGGACTTGACACTTTCTTCTGGCCTTCATTTGCAACTGCACTTACACGCAAATGCTTACACACACACACACACACACACACACACACACACACACACACACACACATTAAAGGACAAACATCTTAGTTTTTAAAAAAAGATAAATAAAAGGCATAGCATGAAACAGTATGTTCTACTGCATGAGGAATCGAGAGTGTGGAAGTGGGTCGGAGCAACTGATACTGGGACAAAGTTTCCGTTTGAAGTGTCATTTGAGCCTATATAAGCTGACTGGAGAGAAGGACAGACTTAAGTCCTGCAGAGGGCTGGGGGTAGTGTTCATAAAGGTCTGGAGACTTAAAAAGAAAGTATCTGTCGAAGAACAAAGAGTCATGTATGTGGTAAAGCTTAAGATATATAAAAGAGGGTAGGGAAGGAAAAGCCTACTTAATTTCAGAGGAGAAATTAACATATCCCACTTGGTAGTCTGGACTTCCTTGATTTAGTATTGAATTGCCACGGTTGCACAAACTGAGAGGTCCCTTCAGCCAGAGGAATCTGTGTGTGGAGCCATAAAGGGAGAGAGGCTGGGCTACGTGAAGATAATCAGCTCCCTAACAGAAAAGAGCTTGAGGGTATGGCTCAGTGAGACTTACCTGATGTTGCCTTTGGACCTCAGCTTCATCTCTCCACCACTAAAAAATACAGCCAGTATGTACCAAGCAGTGATAGTATTTCATGTAATCCCAGCAATCGATATACGATGTGTTATTTAATCCTAACAATTCGGACACAAAACGCTTTCATAGATAAGCAAATGCTGCAAATCAACAATAGCTGGGCTGGGACATATACAAAGGGTGATTGATGGAAAATTACTCAGGTTTTAGGAATGGAGAAGCCAAAGAGCTGGAGGCAAGAGGTGTGAAAAGTTCTATGGTCCTGGTAAGAACACATGTAGCAAAAATGATTCAAAACCTTTAAGTCATCTATGTAGAAAATTCAGATCCAAAGAAAATGAAGATGAGGCATCATAAATTAGACTAAGAAGGGAAGGAGGGACGAATTCAGGTCGTGAAATAGAAAGTAGCAACCCTAGGTGTTTAAAAGACTGCTAAAGGAGGCCTACCATCTCAGCAATGGGGCAGTTTAAAAATGATGAGATCCCACTGCAGCTGTCAGGACAGAGGACGAGAGATGTAGCTTCCCACAGTGAAGGTGGCCAGTACAAGGTCTGAGACTATTGTGAGTGGGCAAGGCTCAGAGCAAGACAGGGACAATAGCAGATCCCAAACACAATGCAGTGAGATCACTGAGGCATCCCAGAAGAAAGGTGTGCCATTGATGAAACCAGCCTTACCTGTACTCCTTAAAGAAAAGCAGGAAAACCGAACTACTGTGAATAGGGTTTACTGCCTCAGCTATGTCAATTCCTATCACTGTTTGAGGTCAATGCTAATGACGTCAGAGTCCTAATTTGATGGTCACTGCAACTTCCTCCCCAGAAAGAGTGCAGGCATAAGTAGGAGCTCACCAAGGATAGTCACAAGTATAACAAACTCATAAAGAGGGTTCAGTGAAGAAACAAAAACCCTAAAACTACTTTCACTCTAAAAACAAATGGGAAAAAAATGTAACTTACTAATACTTAAAGAGAATATAAGACATATAATTAAGAATTATTTCCTAAGGCTGAATTTATTTTATTTTCATCAACTTTTATAATGTTATAGAGTTGCATTTGATTTTAATTCATCTAAAACTGAATTCATTATCCTGAATGAGAGTCTTACAGAAAAGCACAGTATTGGAAAGTGATAACCAACGTAATACTTATTTCTTGTGCTATACATGCGTACACTCATGCTATGTCAAGGTCAAGCAGCTTCTGTTTCTAACACATGCTGCTGGATAACAACATGAGGGTGAAGGCAGAAAGGTGGGCATTGAGATCAATTACGTAGTTCATGTAACTTTCCACTTCAGCCGAAATGGAAAATTACAAGTGGCTTTGTTCCATTTTCCCAATTTTTTTCCAACCATCAGCCTCCTAAATTGTATCTTCATTCTTGCTAGTTCAAGTTCATTTTCTATTTTCTACTTGATACATCCATGCCTATGGAATTAAATCGGTGAACTGAAAAAGAAAATCCTTAATGTTACATATAGATCTATTTGCTTGGGTAAATAAGAAAATGCTACATTTTAAGCGAAGTAACTCTTACATCCCAGGAGCAGCAGCCTGAAGGGGAAATAAGAGGAGGAGGAGGGGGAGGGGGGGAGGCAGAATGTGTGTGCTGGAGCCTCCACTTGCAGACTGAACAATAGGACAGGCTAACTTTTAACACTTATCAATAAATAACAAGATGTGCAAAAATCCCAAATCTTAATCACTGGATTGAGCTGGTAGAATACACACCCTTGATGTTAAAATGCTGCAAGGGATTTACTACTTTAGCATTTGCTTTAAAAACAAAATAGATAACAACAGATGCTTTTGTCAGAGTAAAAAAAAAGTGAAGACATATTGTCACAGAGGTATCAGTGGTGGCATAAGAAAGCGAGGCCCTGGTGTTTCAGCCAAAGCAGCATACCTGCCAGGAACAGTGGCAGATTTGAGAATATCTCCAGGCAGGACCACTGAGAGGTCAATGTCTTTATCGATCATATTTTCATTTTGCTCCATGATGACAGCAGCCGATTCTACAGGCTCCTCAGCAGAAGGGACACCCATGCCCTTCGTCTCAGCAGGAGGAAGCGGTGCCTTCGCTTTTGGTTTCCTCCTAAAAAAAAAAGAAAACCCAGAAAATAAATCATCTTAAAAGAATCTATTATTATTTAATTGTATTGAAATCCCAAACCTAAGTTTAGATTATTTTCACATCCAGGAAAAATTATAATTTGTTAATTAAGAAACATAAAATATAAATAGCTAATAAAACACATGAAAAATGTCCATCAGCAGCATCAGGTAAACAATCTAAAAGGACACTGTGATCCCAACTCATCCTACTCAGAGTAGTGGACAATAAGGAAAAAAATAACAATAAATGATGCTAAGATACTCAGGAGAAGGAACCCTTACAAACAAGATTATAAACTAGTGAAAGTACTTTGGAAATCTGTATGAAGGTTCTGGGGGGGGGGGGGGGCACAACAGATGGACTCTATAACCCAGCGTGCCACTCCCAGGCAAGACTTGAAGTCAACATATCATAGAGATCCTTCTTCAAGGATAGTTACCATACCACTATTCACAATAGCCACACAGTGGAAGCACCTTAGGTATCCATCAACAGGAGTGCATAAAGAAAACAGGTATACACACAACAACAACAACATTTTATTCAGCTATGCATTGGAATTATTCCACTTGTAATAAAACTGAAGATTTTAATATTAAGTGAATTCTGAAGCAGAGAGACAAATAATGCATGTTTTTTTACCCATTTGTGGAACCTGGCTTTTATACAGATACGCAAAATCATTTCTGTGTCTGTGACCCAAAAGTAGAAAAACTGTCTATGTGAAGATGACTACTAGGAGAGGGGGAAAGAAAGGAGAGGAAGGGATGTGGGGGCAAAGTGAAAACGGCATTACATATATGAAAGTATCCTTACGAAACCCACAACTATCTACATATAATGAATATACAGTTAAAAAAAGACAATAAAATCTATATTGGCCTTCATCTGGTTCAGTCAATGTTCCTTCCTATTAAGTTAAGAGTATCATTTCTCTTCTTTGATGCGGTTACATTAACAATGCCTCATGATGGACTATCTGCACTATACACCTCACAATGGCTCCTCTGAGTTGACCATTCTTTCCGTAATAGTATGCCCTACTTCTCTATCCAGATAAACCTTATCTATTCATTATGCTCTAGCTTAGTCTACTCTCTGGTCCCAAAAGTGTACACAGAACTTCTTTCTTTGAAATGATTCTGAATCTCTAAATCTAGCAATTTTCCCTATTTTTTCCTGATGACCAGATCGTCCCTCTGAATTTACAAAACAATGAAAGAAAGTTGTAAGTGGCTATATTTTCTACTGCTTCCTCCTAGCACTGCACAATGAACTGTCTCACTGTAAGTCACACATCTGGGCATGGCTATTACCAGGGGGCATTTTCAGACAAGTTTAACTGAAGCAGCCAAGATCCACCCTGAATGGATGCACCACCTACCGGAAGCACCGGGTCCAGACCACATAGAAAGGAGAAAGGGAGGGAACACTGGCATTGATCACCGCCCTAGTATCCTAATATCACAACTTCCTAGCCATGGTGGAATATGCTGACAAACTGGGGCCAAAATATACTCTTCATTGCTTTTGTTAGACACTACGTTGCAATGATAAAAACCACAAAATAACTTATTTAACCTTGCGGTTCACAGACCTGTAAAACTACTTTGTAGGATATGGAAGGCTTGGGAGCTGCAGGCTAGAGAAGCCCAAGAATGCTATGAGCAGAGCTGAATGGGCCATTCAGAACTTCTGAAGACCAGAATGCCTGCAGAAATCCAGGCAGTAAAGGTCAGGCTCTCGAGAGGTTTCTGAGATGAACAGGACTCTATCAGGAACTGGGTTAGAGGCCATTCATGTTGAGTTCTGCAGAGTCTGGCTGCATTCTAAAAATTGTGAGTGAGGCTGAAAGCAACGGACTAAGTTATTTAGCAGATCAATTTTCAAGGCAGCAAAACATTCAGACTGCTGTCTAGTATTTGCTCACTCTATTTATTGAGGTTTATGTGAGACTCACAGCAGAAAGGAAAAAGTGTGCAGTCTAGCAAGGAAAGGAACTTGAGTATGGCGAAAGATGCAAACAAGGTTTAAGGAAGTAAAAGAGCAGTGAGAGATTAATTAGTCTCATTAAAGAGAAATTTTGTGTTCTTTACTAGGTAACAGGAAAGAAGTCTGTAAGCCATGACTCCACCTATGGCAGGCACCAACTTTTAGAAATGCAAATTCATTTGAAAAGAGAGATCCAGAACTGAAAATGCCACTGGCAGCCTCCCCTATTAAATGGACTCCCTGCTTAGAAACAATTACTTAAGAAAAGTTATTTTCCTAGTCTTGCCTGCCATAGAACACAAAGGCCAAGGTGGCTATGGAAGAGGAGCTCGGGCTGAACTTGAGACCATCATCCACAAGAAGATGGTTTTACAGGCACATAAAATGCAAGAATTATGGGATCATGGTGGCTTACACCATGTTGCAGGAAGCCGCTGAGGCCAGGCAAAGTTAGACACTGTAACATGAAAAATAAAAGCCCAGAGGCAGATATTGGGTCCAAGCTTCAAGCTGAAGATCAGAAAAGCAAAGCAGTCAGCCACTGGCTCTTACCTCTACCTATGCTCAGACCAAAGGGATGATCCTCAGACTGTTCCACAATTTCACTGCTCCTCAGATTCACTCAGACTGCTCTGCTCTCTCAACATACCTAGAGACTAATTCTTTCATGAGACCCTTAGGTTCTTCCTTTTATACCTTCTTAGTGTGTGTGATCCCTAGTGCTGAGATCACCTTTGTGTGAGCTGTTTTTCTTTAGGACTGGATCAATTTTATGTAGTCAGTGTGGCCTTGAAAAAAACAGAGATCCATCTGTTTCTTGAGTCCTGGGATTAAAGGTGTGTGTCACCACTGCCTGGTTCTGTGGCTAGTTAGTGTGGCTGCTGGGATTAAAGGTGTGCATCACCATTGCCTGAACTCTATGGTTTGTGGCTGGCTTTGCTTTCTATACCCCCAGGCAAGCTTTAATAAATCATAAATAACGTATCACCGCAAGATTTCCTACTTTGAAATACTGTTGCATGACACTGTGAAGATAATGCTTAAGCTGCAGTGAAGAACCCAGTTATGTTGGAAATGTCAGTACCACTGGATGTCCACTAAGGAAGCTGCAGGCATGGAGGGGAGCCAGTCTAAGTGACAAGCTATGGGCGCTGTAGCTGGCAGAATTGAAGGCGCAGTCTGGCCAAGTCTGCTAGAGAGCTCAGAGGGTTCCATCACAATCCCTGTATCTGTACATGAAGCTGGAGATTTGATGTTTTACCTGCTTAGTTTCCTAATGCTTTTACACAACCTTCCCTTTCTTTACCTCTATTCCTCCTCTTTGGAATGTGTATATTTATACCATTCCATTGTATATTGGAAGAAATGATAGTGTAGTTTTTAAGAATTTTATTTTATGGGCTGGAGAGATGGCTCAGAGGTTAAGAGCACTCGATGTTCTTCCAGAGGTCCTGAGTTCGATTCCCAGCAATTACATGGTGGCTCACAACCATCTTTAATGAGATCTGGTGCCCTCTTCTGACCTGCAGGAATATATGCATGCAGAACACTGTATACATAATAAATAAATAAATAAATCCTTTAAAAAAATCAATCTTACAAGGCCTCACAGTTAAGAAATTACCTTGGGTCTCATAAGACACTTTGGACTTTTGGACAATGCTAGAACTGTTAATACTTTGGGAATTCTTATAAATGAACTAATACCTTTTGTGTTATGAAATGGTCATGCACCTTTGAAGACCATGAGTGTGAGGTTATGGCTTAAAAAGTGTTTGATAGACTTGTAATTGGTTAAAATTCACAATTAACATGGATAGATTTAAAATCACCTAGGAGGAACTACTTCTTGGTGTTTTGTCTAAAAATTAGATCAAGTGTAGAATCACCTAAGAGATAGACCTATGGGTAGGCCTGTGAAAGTTCTTCTAGAAAGGTTTACCTGGGGGAGGAAGACCCAACCTTCCACGGGTGGTGCAATCCCAAGGGCTGGAAGCGTAAGCCAAACAAAAGAAAAAAAGTAAGTAGAGCTGGAGCCTCTGAGATCATCTCCCTCTCCAAGTTGAGGCCAAGGATGCCTCAACTCCCTGGCCATGACGGACTATACTTTCTTAAGTTGCTTTTGCTAGGTATTTGTCACAACAAGAAGAGTAACACATAGTTATTTCATAAAATTACAAATGGGTTCCAATGAACTTTCACAAATAATTATACTAATAAGTACTTTCAGTGTCATGTGGACAATGAGGCTACTTGGGACATTCTGAAAACAATTTCTATAGAAACAATTTAAAGGTATGACGGTCTTCTAAAAAAAGGAAATGTGAAAAAAACTCTAACTGCTGGGCGTTGGTGGCGCACGCCTTTAATCCCAGAACTCAGGAGGCAGAGGCAGGCAGATCTCTGTGAGTTTGAGGCCAGCCTGGTCTCCAGAGTGAGTGCCAGGACAGGCTCCAAAGCTACACAGAGAAACCCTGTCTCGAAAAACCAAAAAAAAAAAAAAAAAGAAAAAAAAAAAAAAAAAAAAAAAGAAAGAAAAGAAAAAAGAAAAAAACTCTAATGACATATTTTTTTAAATATTTAAGTAAAATTAACTTTAAAAGTTTGAAAATGTTATCTTAAAAAAAAGTGATTCCAGGGCCAGAGAAATGGCTACAAGATTAAGAGCACTGGTTGCTCTGCCAAAGACCCATGACTGATTCCCAGCATACACATGGCAGCTGACAATCATCTGTAATTCGAGTTTGGTATGTAACACCCTTCTCTGGGCTCTAGGGGCAGCAGGCATGCAGGAGGTATACAAACACATGTGCAGCAAAACATTTTACACATAAAATAATTTTCTAAAAACTAATTGTGTCGGAAGAAAAATAATAGTCACTTCCTTCCAGGGAAAATGTAAATTTTAATTCCACATTTCCTGAGAAAATATAAGAACCACACAGGATAAATACACCATCCTCCAACTCAGCGTTTTCAAAATTTAC